TTTAATTTATTATCATAAGCACGCATTCATATATATTATATTTTTTATTGAATTTTTATTATTAACATTACCAATTAAAACCCAATAAAATTGCTTTTATCGAGTATTATTAATATTATCGATAAAATAAGTTTAAACATTGTAAATTTCAGATCAGAGAGAAGCAAAAGACGAATGAAAGAAACTGAGAAAATTACTCATCGCGAGACAGAGAAAAAAAGAGGAGCAAAACGTGCGAATCACCGCGTAGTCGCGTAGTCTCAATGCACCATTGTGTTATAATACGATGAGGAGCACGATCCGCAAGACTTTCATGCGATAACCGTCGGTTATACAAGCAGCAAGTGAAACCGCGTTATTTCCGGTCGCCCGGTTCATCCTACGCGCGGCTATTGAAATTCCTCGATACCCGCATATCAAGATCGATATTGCTCGGCAAACAATATCGGATTTATAATACATCTCAGCCCCTCAGTCAAGTATATATATATTGTAAAGAAAAATAAATAATTTGCAGAGAATTCATATGACGTTTCGTCGTCAATTCCACGAAATACGAAATAAAAGCCTGTTTCAGTTAACAAAAGTACCAAGCGATCGTTCTTTACTATTTCTATTTTTTTTTAAATTAGCACCTCTTCTAATATCGACGATAAGATCTTAAAACTTTCTGATTTTAATATTTCATCAAAATAAAGAAAAAAAAAATTAATAAAAAAATAGAGGAAATTTCAAAATTGTATGTATTTACGAAGAAAAGATATTAATTTAAAAAGTAGAAAGAGCTAGAAATGATCGCTTGATACTTTCGGTGTTAAATAAAATATCTTAAAATAATCAAATTTCATATCAAAAATTTTAGTTTACCTTAATATGACAGAAACACAATTTATAGGACAAAGTTAATAAGATAAGAATTAAAAATTAGAATTTGCACGTGCAGCTCTATTTTCCTTAATATTTGTTTATCTAGACAAAGCATAGAAAGAGGACTTCTTATAATCGTTTCATTATTAATCTTTTTATAAATAGCATCCCCTCGGCGCTGCTTTCTTTCTCACATATCGACTTCCTGTGAACGAGGAAAAATGATCTTTCAGAGCACGCCGCTTTTCTCCTCCTGCAGTTGTGTAAATCTGCCAGTTTTCTAACTGTCAGAAATATTGAGAACTTATAAAAGTGAGAGGTTTTTTTCATATCAAGAATTTCAAGGTTTTCCCATATCTCGTAGACGTGTTGCGAGTTTCATTGTATAAGAATCGCTTTCTGCAGCAAAACGAAAGAAACTTTCTTACACACATTGTCGTATCGCTTAACGCATCT